CTGGAGTTCAGAGTAATACCGTACGAACACCAAAATCTGCTCGTACTCTGGACCATTTTACATAGCGCATAAATTCGCCAATACCATTTTTCACGGCGTACCAACATCGTTTGTAAAATGAGCCAAAGGTAATTGTAGCGAACAAAATGATGCAAGATTCAAGTGCTCAAATGCCATGGTGCCAAAAATGGCTTGAATTGCCTTCCTAGACAACTGAGAGAAAGGAAAGGGCGCAATAGCTGCAAAATCTGGTCTTGGAGAAGTGCTGCTTTATTTGCCGTTCTGCGGCGTACGAATATATTTTTATGTTTAGGCATCAGCACTAAAGAACTGACAGATGCTCCTGAAATATTGTTCGTAATGATGGCGAGTTGGTCATTGGGAACTCCGCAAGAGCATAAATATAATGGAACCTCAGCCTACCTTAAGAGTTCCTAGAAAATAAGGGAGTTATGTATTACACCGCAAATTTGATTTTAGAGGAGTTATGAGTTTTTTCCCAACACTGTACTGTATGCTACTGAAGCGTAATACTTTTGATTTCATGATTGGACGGACGAGAACAAAAACGTCTTTACGCCACAATAGAGCAAGGTCGACAAACAGCATTTTTCTTCACCAGAGGTTCAGGCTTCATTCAGCCTGTGATGCAAAAATGGAGCAGATAGGAGACATACTTACGCAAAATTTGCTACAGTCATTAGAACGATTTTAAGTTTAATATCAATGTTGAGGACCAGTCCAAAAATTAAAACAACCCCATTCGTCATCCGGTTCATTTCCAACATTCCATTTGATGAAACGGTACGCAGAAAATGAGCATGTTCAAATATGCCACAAAATGGGAAATCTTAGGATCACAGGATCATTGCAAACTTCTCAAACAGAAAGAAAAGAAGCATATGAACCTAGTATTAGAAAAACCATTATAAAGCTAAATCGAAGAGTTGCAGGACATCTGGCAGCCTGAAGCTACAGCATAGTTTCATGTGCCTTTTACTTGGGGACACTCATTTACCTTGAAGAATGCCAATTTTCTCGACATGGAGCTGACAAACCTACGCCTGCGAATGAGGAATTATTGCACATGTTGACTTGCAAACCCTGATTGTGTAACTAATGTACGAGTTCGTTTAATTTGAGTGAAAGGTGGAATAAAATGTACGGAAAATTGCACAGCAGTAACCAAGTCAGCAATGAACTCAGGAAGTGGCGGGTTCGAACGAAGAAAAAATTTCTCTTGGCAGTTAAATCCCTCACAAGGACGTTGTCCCATTTTACCTTGTCTCAACTATTTGAGAAACGGATAACTACTGACTTGATTCCAAACATCATAGACAGCCTGATGTGGTCTTACATGAATGGGCGAGAGGTACCGTCAAACTGTCTGATGCAAGCCTCTCTTATGGCCACAATTCGCCTTCACTCATGGTTGTCTATCCAGTCTGATAATTTGCAATCATTTTATCGCATGGATGTCTGATCTAAAGTGTAACCTCCCTTGTTATTTGTCGTTCTTCTAAAGTCACCGGTAAACTTGTCGTCAGGATTAACGGAGTGATGGGTCCCTTCAGACAAATACTTCAATAGTTGCATCGTTCAGTATAATGTATTTCCATCTGGATTTCATCCTAACAATGAAGCCATATTTATGAACAGGCAAATTTACATCGCTTCAACCTTGTGCCTTAAATTATTAATCCGGAGATGAAAAAATAGCATTGTTTATTGAAACAAGCAACGAATCGGCATTCTCTCCGATACGCATATAAACGTTTACAGAAATCTCCTTTTTCTGCTGATTTGAGTTTCTGAATATTTCTCGAATGACGCCGAATGTCACGTTAGTCGCATCACTATAATGGACCTGTAAACGGGAACCGTTGAGCCAATCAGAAGAACGCCCCAGCGTCACCGCGTTGATTAGCTCTTGAAAAGCCCCTCACGGAGTAACTTCAGATCAAAGTTTTTCTGGCAGGTTGTACTCTATCTCCCTGAGGTAAGGTTAACGTAGAGATCGGGAGAACAGGTTTTCGTTCATTCTTTGTTTTGGCGCTATCATGGCCGGTGTCATTTCGTCATCGTTCTGGACTCAGAGGTAGCGCGTTCTTTCATAGACAGATTCATCACATATCCATAAAAAATCTATCGTTCCCAGAAGCCATATCATAAACTTCACTCATTTCACGTGATGATGAAGCTAATATGTATGCATGGCAGTACCCGATGGCTTAACAGGAAAACAGAGCTGAATGACATTACATTCATTATATAGGACTATAGAAACTTGTGCTAATTTATGTTCAGGATCGATAGTTGTCGCTTTTTTACTTCTTTTGGAAAAACTGAGTAAACCTATACCTATCAGCCTAGTAGTCTGTAGCTGAAAGAAAATGGACAGAAAGAAGAGGAAGGAAATGACGAAGTTACCAGCTAAAAACCGCTGGAAACTCATATGCACATATCATGGACACAAGAGGGCAAGGGTTTTGCATTTGGCAACCTCCAGTGATTTGCCTACACAATGGCTCACATAGGCTCTCACCCAAGCAGAAACGAGGGCAGAGTACTCAACCAATGTACTTGGAATACACTTATACTAGTTACCCCAAAATTGCCGCTGCTTACCATAAATTTTAAAATTTCCCTCGTTTTATTTTTATCTTAACAAAGACACTTAGATTCTTGAGGTAATAAAAACGATTGTTACCTAACGTTTACTTCAGTGTTACATAGGCTCATATTTAAGTGTTTTCTTTCACCAAAGTAATTTTGTGCTGTCTTTCGAACTTGCTAGCTGTAGAAGTGTTTCATAAACATCGAGAGTGATTTTCAGGCGCATGCGAAAGAAAATTCCTGTAAAAATAATGAATTAACTCCTTAGATATAACATCCAACTTGAAGAACAAGGTTCTCAAAATTGACATAATTCCATTTCTTTGCAAATTATACATAACCTCATTTTCTTCCGCTGATTCTCGGTAAAATTAAAACTTGACAGCACCTCGCTCAGCTATTACTTTATGCAATGGACATACATTTAGTACGTAAAACTTTTGTATAAACTGTGAATGATACGGAATTTGCTAAGTGTAGTCGAAAATCAGCGGAAGCGAATAATGTTTAACCCCCTTTGAAAATTCTTGCAAATATAACCTCAAATAAAATATGGCAAATCCAAAATCAACATTAAATACTAATTGTTCAGATGAGATGCTGTCTTCAAAGAAATAGTTTATTGCTGGTTCTTCAAATCAACTGAGCTTCTTACACGAGCCTGAAAATCACTCAAAAAGTTTATGGAACAATTATGTTGCTAGATGGAAGTTCTGAAGAAGGATAAAACGTAGCTATAAAGAGCAAAGCAAAATTTCAATCAAAGAACAAATTCTGAAGCAACGGCTCATTCAATGGTAACAAGGACGGAAGAAGTGAACAGAATTGCTCATTTACCTATCTTCTTGCTTATTTGTACACTTAATTGTCTACATACTTGACTTGCCTACCGAGTTTAAATGCTAATGCAGTTATTCATTTCTTCGCATACATATATTCTTGTCTGTTTGCCGACCACCTCAACTACTTCTTTGTACTCACTTACCGACTTACTTATGCACCTGTTATGCTTTATGGCTTGCTCAAATACAACTGATCACAGAATCTCACGAGTAGGGGCAAAAAGGCAAAACCGCCATTTTTCTCCTTAACTCTTCTCCCACATGGAAGAGTGAATCCCACAACGTATCGCAACGGAATGTTAACCCTTACCGGATTTGCGTACGACGGTGCTACAGGTACTGAAGACGGACGGTATAGGTGAAGATAGATCATGCGGCTGCCGTCGTCGTAGGTACCGCCGTAGTTTTGGCCGTAGGTCTGAGAAGTACGGCTGCCGGTGCGGTAATAGCCACAGGTACATGGACACCTGCGCATCGCCTCCTCTACGGTCAGGCACTCGGTCCTGGTCAGCTGGCCGCATCGCTTTTTGTTCTTCAGCGAGTACTCTTTGAACGTGATGCTCGACTCCTCTCTTGGACAGTACGGCTGATATTGGGCCACGGCGACGACGGTCAGCAACAGACAGAGCACAGAGGCGAGGTGAGGCGACGTGTGGGCCATCCTCTTGAGGCCGGCTCGTCGGATCTAACCGACACTTTGTTCGATGCACGCTTATAAACACAGTCGTTGCACACCTACCGCCGGCGAACAAGCGAACAACGTTCGCGGGTTAATGGGTCGGTAAGTAGGTGACAACATGCCGCCCGTCGTTTTGCCTTCTACCGCGTGATTCGAGAGTGCTGCCAGCGACAGAGGCAAGCGTCTTCCGGCCCGTTCACTCCGAGGTGAAAGGTGCATCCGTGGGCGTAGGTGTCCTCCAATGGTGTGTGCACTTATTTTCATAGACCGGCTACCGTTCGTTGCAAAAACGCCGTTTTCACCTCCACATGTGTACGTACGTAGAGACCGGTGCCCGGCCGGTGATATCGTACGCTACCGGAACGAGCTGTTACCTTTCCAGCCTATGATATTGGTACGATCTAACGAATTATTTTCAAGGCCAGTTGCCAATCTAGGCTTGAATGCAATAGCGTCTAAATTCATCCACCCGTTTTTCTTGTCGAACGATACGTAAAGCGTGTTACGTCGAATTCATCACGATTTAGCACAAGAAATATTCATTTTTGTATAAAGGTCATTTTCCGGAACCTGAGCAACCTGGCTGCGAATAGTGCTTCTTCCTCTGAAGATGAATAAGCAAGATGGCCTTCAGTTTTTTGCGGAGGTTTATGACTTACAAACGAGGATTTTCTAAATAGATTCATGTCATAGATAGGAATAAATCTTTCCGCGAAGATCATCTCCAGTTTACCCTAGCTGACGGGGTCAGCATGTCGATATACTTTGGCGGGTACCATGGTAGCTAGGAAGGTTGTACCGCATGGTCCGTCGTTTGGCAAGTGACGCTTGCATTAGTGATCGCGTTCTATCAACTGGATTTACGAATAATAATATGCAGATGAAAAACATCGCATGTAAACGAATTCGCCTAAGTAAAAGCAATATTATTCAAAGCCTCAGCGAAGACCAGTCTTAAGACGACGGCGCAAGAGATCTAATGAAACATAGGGGCCTTGAGTGCCATGCCATATCACGAGAGGCATATAACATATAACAAATGTTATTTTCCGTCCAGCGAAATGAAAACGCTACAACAACATAGAACAATATCCTTGGGCGGTAATTTCTCCATTTTTGATTATCACATTGATGTACATCATATTCCATTTCCAATTGTATTTCTCTATCTATTTCTATACATTTCCATGTTATTCACTTAGAATCTTGGAATTCATTTTGACCGAGTATCACCTTGAACTATCACCTTCTGTTCAGAAGATAGGCGAGTGAGTGAAAAGATTCTCAATGCTTTCCTTGAACCATATGCTA